TTTCTTTTATGGTAACTGGAATGTCCTGACTTTTTGCATTTATTACATTTTGGGTACTTCAATTTTTCTCTAAAAAGTAAAGGTTATAATTTATTGCATAAAATTTTTCAAGGATAGTCAATTAAAAAAAATTTTTTATGGTTACATCCCACTTGTCATTTAAGTTCTTGTTATGAATCCTCATTTTGTTCTTACATATGTTAACTGGCAGTCTTATCTCACTGAGCTTCCACAGCAGCCCTACTCAAGAACCAACTTTTTAATTTTTAGTCTTTTTTTTTTTTTTTTTTAGACAGGATCTCACTATGTAGTTTGGGCTGGCCTCTAGCTCATTTTGTAGCTCAGGCTGGTCTCAAACTCACAAGAATCCTTTTGCCTCAGCCTCCCGAGGACTGGGAATATAGGCATATGCCACTACACCTGGCTGTCCGGCTTTTGAATTTATAGGTTCTACTGTTTGATTTACTATTAATTCTTTTACCTTTGATTTGGACTATTCCTTCTGCCTGTTTTTTGTTACTGTTTCATACTTTGGTTTTTAACGTTCTTGACAGTACAAATTATGACTGATTTCCTGTAACTGCTTTTTCAAGTACTATGTTTCCACCTGTCTTATAGTCATGTTTATCCAGTGTTTTCTTTGCCTACAGGGGTGCTGAGCTACTTACTTTCTTCTTATACAAACTTTTTCATTTTATGTATTTGGTACAGGGTCTCACTACTCAATTCGGACTCTTTGCTGATCCTCCTGTTTTTAGCCTCTGCAGTGCTAGAATTACAGGTGCATGCCACCATACCCCAACTCAGTGCACCCGGGCACAGGGCTAGCAGGGCATTCAGGACTGGGGATCAACCCTTGGTTCCAGCACTTGCCTAAGCAGGTGCTTAGTCAGCTGAGCTATTTCGCCGGTCCTTCCTTATACTAACCTTGAGAATTGATAGCAATCCTCATTTTTTAAAAAAGATAAATTTTTGTGCTTTTAGCATGAAGTGATACCTCAGTTTCTGTCTCCAGATACTGTCTCTTCCACATGGCTCCAGGGCTTTTTTTCAGTGATTTTTATGATTATGAATATCCACAGTTATGTGTCTATTGGCCTTCCTAACATTTACCTTGACTGACTTTATTTTTTTTTCCTTCTCTTTATTTCTTTCATGCTGCTGTACCTGTCCTATCCAACTTGGATTCTACTTGTAGCAATTTCTCCCCAGCGCTGAGCTGTCTCATTAATTTCAAAAGGAATATAGTATACTACAAGGCCCAGATGACTCTAGTATGTCATCAGACCCTTCCCACTTTCAGCTTTTGGTCTCAGCCTGGCCCACATATAGTTCTACAATTTGTAGGTTTTACAAACCACCTGCCTTTTTTCTACTTCCACAGAGATGCAGAAACTCTATGAACCATGGTTCTCATTTATTTATATTTTGAGATTTATATTTTGTCATCCAGTTTTGTAGACAGTGTCTGTGGCTGCTCTAGCTATTCTGTATAAGTGGATCAAAAAACTATATTACTATCATAAACTCTTAAGACCTGTACATTAGAAAATAACAGGATGACAGTAAGTATATTAGGAATTTGCTGTATTTGTTTAGATACTGTGCTAAATGCTTTGTAGGCACTATTTCATTTAATCCTCCATCAGCCTTGTGAGTTGTTTTATTATTTTCCTAACAGGAAAAGTGACATCCAAGGTCACACTATGAAACTGGCATAAAAAGGACTTAAACCCAGGTCATCTCATTCCAGAGCAACTCCTCCTTCAGTGTCTAGTAACTACTTCCAGATCCAACTGTTATCAAACTATGTACCACCATCAGCATCATCTATTTGACTTCATTTTACTTATGAGTATTTAAGAATCTAACAAAAACTAGATATATATTATAGGTCAAAACTAAGAACACTGTAGATGGTAAAGAGTTTAATAACGGCTTTTACTGTTCTAAGAAAAATACTGTAAAGTGGGAAAGGGTAAAGTTAACAGAGTAGGGGATAGAATTATTCAATTATTATTTTAAATGTCTTATGACAATATCACTAAAGTATATGTGAAACATTGCTCATAACTCATTAATAAATATTTTTTTTCTAAATAAGTATTTAGAAAAAAAGAATAGCTTTCCCCACAATTCATAAAGGTCTAATTTTTTGGTCAACGTGTCTATAAAAGGTGAACATTCACTGGTCCATAAAGTTTCCCAAGAAACTTTGTCTCCCAAGTATTATTAGAACAGTTCTATCATTAATATTCTTTTTGCTATTCAAGGGTTTTTAAAATATGTAAGTTTTATGAATTACTTCTGAGCTAGAATTATTTTCTTTCATTCATAAACATAGTTACTCTTATTTTATTACCTTTTAATCTCAGAGGGTAAGTCATGAAAAATAATGAAGGCTTTATAGCTCTTAAAATCATTATACACATGCTATTTTATGATGATTCAGTTTGAGATATAGATGTAATAATCTGTGGAGATATAGCATATTGTTAATACTGTTTTTTCCCATCTTTGGAAGATTTGTAACGAAAAAAAAAAATCTGGTAGTGCTGGGAATTGAACCCAGGGCTTCATACATGCTGGTTAAGTGCTCTACCACTGAGCTTCATCCCAGCCCTATTAATATTTTTTAAAAATTAAACATTAAAAAATAGTAGTCTCTGCAATTCAGTTTTAAAACTAAGCATGTCAATAACAAGTATTTTTCTAAGTGCATACTGGATTTCCCTTGGGAAGAATGATTATTTTAGGATATTATCCCTCTAATTTAGGAAGTAAATTAAAATATTATAACTAGTGATATTAATAATTTTTACATTGATATCTGTAAAATAATTCAACTTTGATTCATTACCAAGATTATTAACCTAAACCCAGCTTCTTTCAGCGAGATTTCTTCTCCATTTCAGTACCACACTCAAACCTTTCAATGCCACTACTTGTTACATGTGATTTATTGACAAGCTGGTTACCAGTGACGGGTTTTTATACCATCTCCTGTATGATTAGTTTGTAGAATTAAGACCAAAAAACAAGCCAGTAAGCAAAGTGAAACCCTAGTTCTTACCCTCTTGAAAAATTACACTTCCTTCCACTGATCTGGAAATATTAGAAAAATATAAATGACTGTGTATGGAGCTGTATCACTGAATTTACCTCATTGACTCTGATTTTGTATTTACATATTGTTACTTACTTAATTTGAAAAAAATTATACAATTATTATAGATTGAGTATCCCTTATTCAAAATGTGTGGGAGCATTTCAGAAATGTTTCAGATTTTGAACTTAAAATTTTCAAATACTTGCTTATACATACAACCTGTATATGAAAACCAAGTCTAAATACAAAATGAACTCATGCTTCACTCATTAGTTACACGAATAGCTGAAGGCAATTTTCTGTAATACATTTAGAGCCCCTCTATTTTGATTGTGGTATGTCACATGAGATCAGATGTGGAATTTTCTACCTGTAGTGCCAAAATTTGGATTCTGATCTTTTCAGATTTTGTACTAGGGATGCTCAATCCAATAGTCTGAAATTAGAGTGGCTGACAAACTGGTAGCAATGAACTAGAAAGAAGAGAAAGTCCAAATGCCTAAAAATAACTCAGTTATAAAAGTACATTTATAGTATCAAAATCTCAGAAAAATAAAAACACCCAATGTCTTTCCTTCTAGATAACACTCACTTCTGTCTCCACAAAAGGCAACTCAAGATTGAGATTTTAAAGTTAGCTGATATTTACCCAGCAATGTCTAAATAAAGACATTCACGTCATGAAACTTTCTCATTCTTAGTATCACCTACAGTTACTTGCTCCTATGTTACCTAAGTCTTCTTAAAACAATCTCTCTAGAAAATTATATTAGTTAAGCCTATTTATTCTTCCTATGAAGTTATTACCTTCATTTATAGAGGCCACACTAATTTAATTGGCACAGTTAAGCATAAGCCATTCCTCTTTAAGAACATTATAAGATCATCTGTTTTCAAAGAATAATCCTACATAATTAAGTCATTAAAGCAAATTTTTACCATCAAGAGTCAAGATTTTTAGGTGAACTCTAAGTGCTCACCTGAAGATTAACAATGTTTTATGAGGTGTAAACGTGAAGATTTGTGTTCATTTTATAAGATATGATTTGTACTGAGTTTTAAAAAAAGATAACCTACATATATAGTTTTGTTTTCCTCAAAGAACTTCTTAGAAATACAATATAAACAGTTCGAACCACAACAGAATCCACCGTGGTTCAAATTTCACAAAGATTTTCTTGAAACCTAGTGTAAAGGTTATTGGCTCAAGACCATATCAAGTGGTATCAATACAAGCTTTGATTGTAACTCTATCCTTTAAAAAAAAACAGAGCACACTTGATTATACATGGCTTTTAACCTTGAGCTACAGTTATGCTACCATCCCCCCCTACCCCATCTAAAGTCAGTCATTTGGAGATGTGGACATTCGCTGAGCTTTGTTTGGAGTCCTTGGTTTGCCAGCTTTGATGGAGATCTCGAAGGCGTTCAGAAGTTCGTGTGCTTACATTCAGAGCAGGATGGACTTTACAAATCCCACTTTCCTCCATTAGTGATAGGCCACAGATCCCAAAGTATGCATGCAAAGCATCTGAAAAAGGAGACATGTTTTTCCCTTAAAACAGGCATTTTTACTCATGTATGCTATAAAATATTTTAGCTACCAGAGCATTACTACATTAAAAATAAATGTAGAAAAATGCTAAACACATTTGTGGAAATATTTTCCCCAAGTCTTTTGACAGTCTTAAAGAACATAATCAAAATTAAAATATGATGAAATTATTGACAAACATCTACCAACTGAAGAAATGACACTGTTAGGATTCACTTCAGGACAGAGGAGAAGAATAGCTGTGACATGGAAGTCTTCTCACTTTAGTAGGTTTTCCTTTTTGCTTACTATAGAATACAGAAACCAAGGACTACATCATGTTTCCCCTATAAGTGAAAATAAACCTACCTCTGAATTTAAGTAGCAACACATCCCATCCTCCTACCCCTAAGCTTTACTGATAACAGTTCCTAAACTATTATGTTAAATAAAAGGAACAAAAATAATCTACCTAGAAATGCTGTTATTTTAAAAGTTCTCCTATTTAAGATAATATTAGGGGCTGGAGAGATGGCTCAGTGGTCTAAAGCACCTACTTAGAACAAGCTTGGCAAGGCATCAGGGACCGCGGTTCAATCCCCCAGCACCACATGCCAGCCGGCCCCGCCCCCTGGTGGGCTGAGCTGGCCACACACACACCACCCTCTCTCTCTCTCTCTCTCTCTCTCTCTCTCTCTAATAATAAATAAAAAAAAATTAAAAAAAAAAAAAAGATAATATTAGCCATTCTAAAAATATGTGATCTGGCAATAAAAACTCATATTCTATTTGGTTTCAACAACTTTTCTGCATTGGCCTCACTACACTTTCCCATTTTCCACGGGCAGCAAGCCTCTTCTACTAAAGTGGTCACTGAACTCTCGTGAGCACTGACTGCCTCAGAGCCTTATTTAGACTTCTAAACAGCTAAGAATTCTGCAGCTATGGGAATGCTAAAAAAAGTTTGGTAGCAGTTAAAATGTTTTTGCTATTTTTGAACTAGCAAGAATATATACCCTCAAGAGCTATTAAAGTTCAAAAGATCTTACCAAGTTAAACTTTGTCAAAAAAGTTAATGCTTAGACTTTTTCAGGATTACTTTTCACTAATTTTTAGATTCCAAAATAAATTTTATTTCTTCTATGCAATTATATCATTTTATATAGTTATCCTAAGATTACAAAAGGCACTAAGCAACATTAAACTTGATTTTTTTTTGGGAGGGGGCCAGGTCAGGCTGCCTTAAGGGCGGTCTGGTAAGGCATGTGGAGCTGGGGATTGAACCACGGTATCCTGCGCCTGACTGTGTTTGCATAAGCAGGTGCTTAAACAACTGGCAGGCCCCCTAAATTTGATTTTTAGAAACTGGAAGCTTTCTCAGGAAATAATGCAATAGAAAGGAGAATAATGTATGTCTAGAATAACACAAAATAGGGTCTCATATTTTTCCTCACAAGGAATTTTATTGCAGCCAGAGACCAGAACTTATTTATGTCAAATTTCAATAGTTTAAAAAAAAACTCCTTATCTGTAGTGATATATTAAAGTATTTTAAAAATACATATTGACCTTATATTTATAAATGTTACCCTTTTCAAATGTTTCTTCCATAAATGTATAATGAAATCCCTTCGTTACAAATCTGCTATTTAATTTACTAGAACCAAGACTAAAGAACATTAAAATGACTTTCTTAAAAGACACTGAGAATAGTTCTTTCCATATTAATTCAATTTATCACACAAAGACTTTCCATGCTTCTAGTATATAGGATTGGAAAATGATATATCTGTGGAAATTGAATATCCCATACAAATATTTATGCAAATGTTAAAGCTAGCCACTGATCTCTCCAGGAAAAAAACTTCAAAGAATTTACTTTTGAAAATGCTACTGGAAATAACTGATACACTTTAAGTTTATACAAGAGATACTTTCTAAGAGATTGTAATTTCAATTATTTTTAATTGATTGTAAAATCAATTAAAAATAATTGTACCACACATTGTACCACACATTGAT